TGCTTACATCTGTGTCCATGTATGTCTATCCTGGTCTTGTTCCCTCTCCTTCTAAACCCACAAGAAGTCAGTAATGAGGGCCCCACCTTGATGACCTTCATAGTAATCTCTTCTCAGAGGCTTAACCTTTCAACACCATAATCAGATTAAGTTTTCACTTTCTTAATGTTGTCATAACCACATCTCAACATGTGAATTTTGGGAGGTACATTCAGACCATACTAGTGTCACTATATTTTAAAATATAAAGTCATAAAACAATAACAAAGGAGCAAAAGCACAGGGTGTCAATTCTTATCCAACAGATTTGAAAAAAAAAATAAGGGGAGGAAAGAACAGAAAGGAATAATAGCTGGGTGTGCTCTCCAACAACATGGGCATCAAATGGAAAGGTAGTTGATGTGGGGGTGTGGGGACCCCCTTCTTATTTTCAGCATGCCATGATGGCACCCCTAATACCTTGCCTCACTACCTAATCAGTTTCTGCCTCATAGAAGTTGATTTCCTGTGCCTATTCTCAATATTTTCTTGACTACAGTCTCTTTCTGGACTGGGTTTAAGAGAATCATAGAGCTTGATATTACAGTATAATGAATTATGTAACATGAACACAGGAGTCAAGTTTCTGTAATGCAAACAGTCTAACTTGCCTTTTAGTCACCACTTGAGGAGTACAGTTATCATTAAGACAAGTAGATTTTGCAATCTAGTGTATCTTGGTTTCCCCAGACACTAACTTTTCTAGTTTTCTCTTTCTTAGTTTAATTTCACATCATAATACTAAGGTATCAATGATAGAATTATTTTTTTCAATGAGTCTTATTCTTTAGAAGGAGTTGCGTCTGATTTAGAAAATGTTGTAAGGGCATAATATGGTAGATGCCCAGTGTTTTGTTTGTTTTGTTTTGTTTTTTCTTTTTCTTTTTCTTTTTTTTTTTGCTATAGGGCACGTGCACACCCCAGAAAGACAAACAGAGACAGAGAGACAGAAAGCAAGAAATCATCCCCCAGAGGGGATGGCCACACCACAATCCCTTCTCCTCTATTCTCCTTTCGAGATCTTGGGTACGCATGCACACAGACCAGGCATGAGTTTAAGCCTGTGGTTTTGGGACTTGAACCACGGCCAATTAAATGAGAATCCAGCGACATAGCCATTACATCACCTGCTGGTCCTGATGCCCAATGTTTCTAGATGATTATAAAAGAAATAGGCTAAAATAATAGTTTACTAATTATTTTGTGGGACCCCTCTGCCATTGTCCTGGGGTTTAGGGAGACAACGATGAATATGAGACCAGGTTCACCTGTGTGGATTTCACAGGCGTACAGGGCAGCATGAGTCTATAATAGATGAGGATATTCAAAGTGAGGGTCTAGACCAGCAGCATCAAAATCATCTTGGAACTTGTTAAAAATGCACATTCTTGTGGCCAGCAGGTGACATGGCAGTTAAGGAGCTACCACATCATCAATCCTGGTTCAAGTCTCAGACCTGGTGGTTTGCCTTCTTTCTCTCTCTTGCTCTCTCTTTCTCTCTGGTAAGAACACATGTTCTATAGCAAATTAAAATATTAATAATAATTTCTTAATTAAATTAAAATAATTATTTTAAAAATGCACATTCTTGGGTCAGTGGGTGGCATAGAGGTTAAGGTACTGGATCTCACTGACTGACTCTGCAGTTCAAATCACAGGCCTGGTGGCTTGAAAATCATGTTGGGCACATGTGCATAGAAGCCAAAAATCATGAGAGGAGAATGGAGGAGATGGGATTATAGCAGGGCATACCAACTAGGGGGTGATTTTTCATTTTCTCTCTTTGTCCGTCTCTGGTGAGCACATGCGCCCTGTGCCAAAAACTCAAATAGATAAAAATGCATATTATTGGACCTATCCCAGACCTACTGAATCTGAATCTCTGGGATAAAGCACAGCAATCTGTTTTAATAATACTACCAGGTGTATTAAAATTTGAGTACTACTGGTACAGTCATATTTTAATATATCATAGTAAATGCAACAATAGAAACATGAATGTAGTAGAGATAAACATTGCTAACTCTACCACTGGTAGAAGTGAGAGGGTCCAGGGAGGTATTTTATTTTTTTATTTTTTAAATTGTTATTTATTTATTTTATAAAGTGGCATTAGACATGTTCTTGAAAAAAAAATTCCAAGTCACTATGCAGAAAATAGGTTTCCTCAGATTCAGGGTTTAGGACTTTGATATGGTACCCTTCAAAGAATACTACAAAGACTTGGAATGATTAACAATTCTTAATTGCAAGCAGTGGTTCTTATTTCATGGATGGGACTTTTGGATGGAGAGGAGAAAGACGTGGTCTCAAATCCAAACAGAATTGCTTATGGCTCAGTTGAGATGGAATAAAGCTGCCCCATTCATATATGTATTAGGACTTTTAAAGTCACAACTAAAAATGCAAATTTTATGAAAAGCATGACTGAGCTCACTGTGGCCTTTCGTCATTCAGTACTTTACCAATATGTAGCATAGTAATATAGAGAGATGTTTGGATTCAAATGTTAACTCTTCCACTAATGGCATAATCATGGGTAACCACTTAATTTCCTTACCTATAAATTAGCCATACAAATGTTGCTACTTCATGTGATTATTGAGAAATAACACACCCAAGGTAAACAGGCATCATGCCTGGCCATAGAAGGGCCCATCTAACATTGGGTACTATTCTTTTGTACAAATCAATGAATTTGATAAAGACTTAGAGTATTTGTTAGGAATAAAAGTAATAGAATGTGTTTTCATGATTAAAAATTGTCTTCAAATTAAAAATGGTTTATAGCATATTATTGTATTTCTCTAATAGAAAAAAATATAATTTAGAAGATATTAGTCCAAAATCAGATGCTTTTATAAATATATTTCTTTTTTAATTCCAGAGACCTTCCAGTTTATTTCCAAAAGGCACCATGGTTTCCCCTTCAGTCTCACCTTTTTCCTAAATGGGATGCAGGTGAACAGGTTAAGCTCCTGCTGTGAATACAAGCACAGAAAAGGTTCCAGACTTGGAGGCAAGCGTGGCTACTTTGGGTTTGTGAGTGTCGAAAGATCATCTCCTTGCTACAAGTACGGAAACAAACGTCCTTTGGTAGAGGGCGAGTTTGCTACGTCTTTCTTCTTATGCCTTTTAGTAATGCACTTATCTGCACAAATTAAGAGAAATTAATGTAGATGAGTCTAAAATATCTACAGTTAGGGGTTATTATAACCTTGTGTGTTATATTTAAGATACAAGATCAGATCTGCATGTGTATTACATAGTAGAGATAAAAGCTGATAGTGTTTTAAATTCTGATTCTCTTTTTGTCTCCCTTTCTGAAGGGACAGAGGCAAACTTTTTTTTTTTT